CTGAGGGTTTAAAGATGGAGGATGAAGAGTCTCTCAGGTCTGAGGGTTTACAGATGGAGGATGAAGAGTCTCTCGGGTCTGAGGGTTTAAAGATGGAGGATGAAGAGTCTCTCAGGTCTCAGAGTCTCTTTTATTGGTTTAATAAACATAAAATGAGTTGTTTTAATGTTGAAGACAAACTAAACTTCAGGTCATGTTTTCTGACTAGAATGAACGGAGAGTCTGGATCCGTGGAGGGAAGAAGAAGGAGACGAGGTTCTGATCGGGACTCTTGGACCCAGCTGTGAGGTGCAGGTTCTGGGTCGGCACTCACCGATGGCGCAGGTTCTGTTGGCCGTGTGCTGCTGGAGCAGTCGGACGATCTGGGCCTTCTGAGTCGGGGAGCAGCGGCAGCAGACCACCGCCGGACACTGACACGCCAACTCCACGAACTCGTGCTCGTAGTACCTCAAACACACCTGCAGCACCACAAACACAGGGACAGGAAGTGGACAGGAAGTCCTGTTCAGTTGTAGAGTTTAGGATTTGTGATGAGCTGCCTTTGTGTCTCCTCAGCTGCTCTCAGGTGAAGTACCTCTAAAGAGTCTCCAGAGATGACCAGAGCACAGTCGTGCTTCCTCCTGAAGGCGTTGAGCTCCAGATGAGCCTCTCCTCGGTTCGACACCTGCTCAAGAGCCACACAACACGATTATCCACAGGAAGCAACTGAGTGGACTCACCGTGTGGAAGAACCACGCACCGGTCTGAAGACGTGGATGTCTTGGCTCCTGGACACCAGATGAGAGCTTTTGGCGATGCACGTAGCCGTCTCCAGCTTGTCTCCTGTCAGCATCCAGATCTGAGCAGAGGAACAAAACCAGGATGAGGAGCTGGGGCCGGGACCAGGACTGGTGAGATTCCGGCACCCACCTTGATGCCAGCGTTCCTCAGCAGCTCCAGCGTGGGCCTGACGTCTGCCTGGAGCTGATCCTCCACGCCGGTCAGACACAGGAGCTCCATCTCCCGCTCCAGACTCTCCACCACCGCCGCCACCTTCAGCGCTCGGTCGTGGACGCTCAGCTTCGCCTGGTTGTAGCGGCTCTGCTCCGACAGGGAGGACGGGAAAAGCTCAGGAGGAAATCTGAACAAACTCGGAGGACAAACTTCATGTTCTCTGCGTCAGAGGGAGGAGTCTGCACTGAGCATGCTCAGTTTTTTAATGAAACAGGAAGTGAGACACCATCTGTCACCGACCGGAGGGCCGAATGTGGCCCGCAGGCCACGGGATCATGGGACGGTTCTAAACACAAACATGACAAATAAAGAAACGTGGACGATCTTCTGCTCTGTACCTCAAAGTCCTGGTACTGCTCCTCAGACAGGCACTTCTTGGACACCACCAGGGTCCTCAGGCCCTCTCTGGCCATGTTCCCACACTGACAGGAAGCAGAGGACACAGGTGGCGTTACACACAAACACAAAGACCCTCTGAAGACACAAAGACCCTCTGAAGACACAAAGACCCTCTGAAGACACACAGACCCTCTGAAGACTCAAAGACTATCAGAAGACACACAGACCCTCTGAAGACACAAAGACCTTCAGAAGACACAAAGACTTTCTGAAGACACAAAGACCCTCTGAAGACACACAGACCTTCTGAAGACACAAAGACCCTCTGAAGACACAAAGACTATCAGAAGACACACAGACCCTCTGAAGACACAAAGACCTTCAGAAGACACAAAGACCATATGAAGACCTGCTTCTTATGAGCAGGACTGAATATAAACCCAGAGCAGAACCATCAGTCACGGCAGATTATTACAAACACCAAAACACGCCTGCGGTGCCGCTCAGATGGGAGATTTTTAATATGAAACACCAATGGGGCCGATCGGTTCTGATGATTGGTTATTGACGAGCAGTGAAAAAGCGCTGCCAGCTGATCCGACAGCAGGATGTTACCGTTTGCGGCTTCGTGCACAAATATGACAAACAGTAATTACTTCAACTTTATCTAGGTCACTAATTACATCAAAAGCAGCCCCCGGTGCTGATTGATCCAATAACGCCAATACGATGATGGACGTGCACGCACACGTGCGCTGCGACCAACAGACTGCAGCGAGGCGTTGGTCTGATGATCAGCTGTCCTCAGACTGACAGAAAACTGATCCGAAAATACTCAGACTGAACATTTTAGACTTTCTGAATCTGATTGATTTTAATCAGCCTCAGCTGGAACAGCTCGTATAAACTACATGATCCTGAGGAAGTCCTTCATGATCCTGAGGAAGTCCTTCATGATCCTGAGGAAGTCCTTCATGATCCTGAGGAAGTCCTTCATGATCCTGAGGAAGTCCCTCATGATCCTGAGGAAGTCCTTCATGATCCTGAGGAAGTCCTTCATGATCCTGAGGAAGTCCTTCATGATCCTGAGGAAGTCCTTCTAAAACAGAGGTCCCGGCTCACTCTGAACCGCTTGGGTCAAATGTAGAGGATCACTAGGATCAATGGTCGGAGCACAAGGAGTCTGTAAAATATTCAGCCTGTGAAGAGGAGGGTTGTTTCTGTGAGGAAATGTGTTGCTCTGAGACAAACGCATCCTGTTCCTCAGCCTCCAAGCTCCGCCTTCTTTTGGAGAAAAGCTCCGCCTTCTTTTGGAGGAAACAATCCCACTGCTGTGACTGACAGGGACTGAAACAGCTTTAAATAAAACTAGAGCGTTCCTCTTTAACTAGTCAAATATTAGAATAATAAAATGATTAATGTTGCTGCGGCTCAACGAGCAAAAAATCTCGACTGAATGTGGATTAATCAGATGTTAGAGCCGTGAGGAGACCCTCCTCCTCTCAGGTTTACCTCCTCCTCCAGCCAGTCATTGTACTGGACGATGCTCGCCATGGCAACATCAGCCCCCTTCATGTAGAAGGTGATTTCTCCCGTTGACTCCTCCTGCAGGAGTGAGAAGTTCAGCGCACGTCAGTTTGGGTTAAACACACTCGAGTTTCTGAGAGGCTAAAGATTCCCACCCGCACGATGATGCCCATCCGTTTGCTCTCCGAGGTGAAGGGGAAGATCTGCAGGATGTGGAAGGAGAGGATCTGACCCGACGGAGTCTTCAGCTGCAGAGTGGTCAGGTCCCGGTTGACCAGGGTCAGCCCCACGCTCTCCGTCCATCGCACCAGCGCCACCTGTTCGTTACACACAGTCAACACTTGGACAAACCTGCACAATAAACCTGTTCTGAGAGACACCTGAAACCATGTCCAGGTTTTATTAACGCTGAAGACACATTCAAGGACATTAAATCAACTGAAAACAACGGTGTCAAGAGCCTTCAGCTGAGCGAGTCATGACATCCGATGAATCAGCTACTTAGACTACAAGCATGTCTTAAAGACATAAAAACCTGGATGACCCTTAATTTTCTCCTGTTGAACAGACAAGACTGAGGTTTTGGTTTTTGGACCTGAGCACCTTAGGAATGAATGTTTCAGTCTTTCTCCCTCCTTAGATGCATTAATCTGTCCTCCAGCTCTAATGTTAAAAATCTTGGTGTTATTTTTGATCAGGACATGTCTTTTATCCCCCACATTAAAAACGTTACTAGAACCTCCTTCTTCCACCTGCGTAATATCACTAACATTAGAAACATCTGATCTAAAGATGATGCAGAAAAACTGGTCCATGCATTTGTCACGTCTAGACTGGACTATTGCAATGGTTTATTATCTGGGTGTCCAAATACTTCTTTAAAAAGTCTTCAGTTGATCCAAAATGCTGCTGCCAGAGTCTTAACTGGAGTTACTGGGAGAGATCATCTCTCTCCAGTTTTAGCTTCTCTCCATTGGCTCCCTGTCAAATCCAGAATAGAATTCAAAATCTTACTTCTAACCTACAAAGCTCTCAACAACCTAGCTCCATCTTATATTACAGATCTTATTGTTCCATATTTTCCTAACAGAGCACTTCACTCTCAGGCTGCAGGTTTACTTGTGGTTCCTAGAGTTTCCAGCAGCAGAATGTGAGGAAGATCTTTCAGTTCTCAGGCTCCTCTCTAGTGGAACCAACTTCCAGTTTCTGTCCGTGAGGCTGACACATTGTCCAGTTTAAGACTTTCCTTTTTGATAAATCCTATAGTTAGGGTTGTCTTGTTATGCTGCTATAGACTTAGACTGCTGGAGGACAAACTGACCACACTTTTCACTCTGCTACTGTCTTTACTTACTCTGCTCAGCCTGTTTTGTATTTGTAATTATTTTTTCTATCCTTAACGTGTTTTGAAGACAAACGTAACGTTGATGCTGCTCTGCCTCGGTCAGAAAGGATCAAACTGTCGGTGTCCGTAGAGATCAGGGAGGAGGAAGCTGCTGAGATGCCTTCAGGGCACCGAGCCGCATTCTTCCTCCATCAGTCCTCAGGAAGCAAAGACCCAAATTAAACGGCTTAACCTCTGAACAAAGTTTGCGACCTCCGACTTTCATCTGCTGAAACTGCTTTCATGTCAGAGCGGCTCCTCTGAGGAGCGTTAATAAAGACAGGAGGAGGCCGTGCTCCTGCTCAGTCCTCAGGTTCACGAAGGAGCTTTCAGGGAAGACTTCAGCTGTTTCCTCGACCATGTGAAGCACTAAACGTGGCTGAAGCTGCCGATTCTCACTAAAGCTGCGGTCTGTTCTTTAAATCTCGCCAGGACAAGTGAAGCCTGGGACATTGTTTAGATATCATCGTCCGGCACCTGCAGCTCTTCTTACATGTGAGGTTTCAAACAGCCGATGGTTTGTAAAAACTTCGCCTGATGGTTTGTAAAAACTTTGCCTGATGGTTTGTAAAAACTTCGGCTGATGGTTTGTAAAAACTTCGTCTGTTAGTCCCTCCTGTGTGTTTCACCTCGTCTGGACTGGAGGCCTGGTACGTCCGGTTGTCGTCGCTGAAGTCCTGGTCGGCCTCGGCCGACTCCGTCTCTCCGTTCACGCTGGGGTGGGACTCGTAGACGGGCGTCACGTTGTGGCACAGGGCGATGGCCTTCACCGCTTCGTGGATGCGGCTGCTGACACTCTTACGGACCTTCGGCGCTGAGTTTTGTGTCTTTCGTGATGGCGTGGAGCCACTGGTAACTCCTCCCCCACTGGACGGCTGAGAAGGCACCTGAAACGACAAAAAACAGCTAAAATCTTTTAAAATGTAGCTTAAAGACACGAGAGAAAAAATAATGTGAACGCAGATCTCTGAATGACTCCGCTGAAGTTAGCTGAAGAGACTAGCAGAACAAAAGCTAAAATCTTCAAACTGTAGCTAAAAACTGTAATTAACAAACCTTTAACTAACAAGACTACTTAAAAGTTAAAAATAACAAGACAGTAGCTTAAAGCTAGGATTAGCAAAACCACAGCTAAAAGCTAAAATTGTCTAAATTACAGATAAAAGCTAAATGTTGCTAAACTGTATACAACAGCTAAAAATAAGACAGTAAAGATAAAACCAGTTGAACAGCAGCTTAAAGCTAGGATTAGCAAAGCTAGTCTTTCAAATTTTAGTTAAAGATATTTTTAAATCCCTGCCTGCATATTATTTTATTATTGTTGTGACCTACATAACAACATGAACATCTGAACGCCGACTCGGCACCTGAACGCCGACTCGGCACCTGAACGCCGACTCATCACCTGAACGCCGAC